ATTTATAATACGATTTTGGCAACACTGCTCGACACGGGTGTAGTGTCGAGCTGTCTATACATAATCGGGCGTTAAGCGTCAAGAATTAGATTTTCTGTTTCTTGTTTTATGTTGACACATAATTCAAAGTGTCAGCACTATGCGTCAGTGTTCAAAATTTAAGTTTCATATTTTATTCTAAATTCTACTTCTATTTAACTAAGGTTTTTAAAATCTTATAAATATTCATCTAAATTTAGAATCGAGAGAGTTTTGAGAGACCTTGGCAGCTCTCTTTTGGGCATTTTTGGAAATCAAGATATAAGATCTATCAATAATAAAAAATCAAATATTTCAGTTATCTCAAATTAGATTTTATTTTTTCTTAAATATTTTTATATTCATAATTATGATTTCAGATTTTATTATTTTTATTATGAACTAATTTCTTTTATTAATGTTATGATGTAACATAATCAATTTAATATAGGTTTTGTGATTTTTATATTTTTAATTAAAATTATTTGCATGAGGAGTTTATATTATTAAATTTAATGCATTGGAAGCTTGATCACCTTTTAATTAATTTAGTGATTTATGCATGAACTTGAGAAATAAATGCATAAATTAGATCAATAATAATATAAACCATGTGTTAGACTATGAGATCGAAAGGTAATTAACTCACATATAATAGTGGAGGAAGAGAAAAGAGTTAGTAGCTCCTCCTTCTTAAACTAGAGGTTTCCATAAAATTTAATACTCATTAGTTTGTTTAAAATTACATAGAAATATGATTAATTTGACAAACAAGTGAAGCATTAGCTTGATTTGAGAAAGTTAGTTAATTAATTTAAGGAAATCCGTTATTACATGTAATAATACTCAACAATTTAGTAATCCAAAATTTATATTGATTGATTATAGTAAAGTCAATGTCTCAGTATCTTATATCTTGGTTAATTTTATTTTAATTGTTAGTTTCTTTTTTTTATTTTAATTAAAATTTTCACTTTTTGATTATTCAAATAAATTCAGATTAATTATTTTGGTACTTAATTAGATACAATTCTCGTAGGTTCAACACTCATCTTATCATTATATTAGTTAAAACGACTAGTACACTTGCGAGGGTGATTTTGATGCATCAATTATCAACTTTAATAATTTTTAAATAAAATAAGGATTCATTTATACACAAATTTTATACATCATATTTATATAAAATTTTAACAATTCATTTCTTCACTTTTAATATTTGAAGTTTATTATGATTTTTAAAATGAAAAATATAATTATTATTAATAAATATGATTAAAAGTGAATAAATTTCAATTGTTGAAGGGGAAAAAATAAATAATTAAGATTTTATATAAGTGTGGTATATAAAAATTATGTATAAGTAAATTTCTATTCTTTTAAATAAATTTATTTTTACCTAATTTGGAAATAATTGGAATGCCATTGATACCCCTTCACTTCTCACTATTTCTTTCTCTCTCTCTCTCTCTTTTTAATTTTGATAATATTTGATCCAAATTCCTTCTTTATTCTACATGATGCGTTTTCTTGTTGAGATTGGAAAGTGGATGTTTTGGCAAAATTTTAAAAAAAAATTGCTTTAAAAGTAAATTTTTTTCATAAATTTAAAATTTTGTTGAAGAAAAATTTAAAAATTAATTTTTAAATGTGTTTTTAAGTAAATTTGAAAAAAATTATAAGATCAGGATGTTCTTGAACTAGTTTTCTAACACCTTAAAATTAATTTCTTTAAATAATTTTAAAAGCGTATCTCACATTAAACTAATACGTTTAAGAAAATTAATTTTTCAAAGATAGTTTTTGCACAAAGATTATATTTTGTTTATTTTAATAAGGATTTAAAAGTTTATGGACCAATTCAATTGAAAGAGAACTAATTAGAGTGAAAAAAAAAAAAAAAAAACCTTTATTAGGGCCTGTTTGGTTGAAACTTCTTCCCAAAAAAGATTTAGGGAAGCCGACCAAAAATCAAGTTGGCTTGGCATAAAAAATTAAAGTTCCAAAATTGAGACAAAATATAATTTATTAAAATAAAAATGTAAGTAATTATATTGAGTATAAAAATATAATCGATTATTTTCAAAATATAATCAATTAATTTATTTTCATTCTAAAAAATCCCAGAAGAAAACTTTCTTGGGAAAGTTCCAATATAATCACTTATATTTTCATTATACTTAATTATATTTTACTTCAATTTTCATGCTTAGAACTTTAATTTCCTAAGTCAAGCCAACATGATTTTTGGTCGGTCTTTTTAATTCTTTTCTTATCCACTTTATAATTCCAGGTTCGTCTTTATTTCTCCCACCAAACCTTTTTGTCTTAATCTCTAATTTGGTTTCAGTGAAATGCAAAGGGGAGAGCAAGAAAATAAAATGATATTATTTTCTTCGCAGTTTTCTCCCATTAATTTATTTTTTTTATCTAATTAGATTAAAATAGAAAAAAATTAAAGTTAAATAAGAAAATCCTTTTCCTCCCCTCTATTTTTTTTTTTTATTAATGGAATAGAAAATTTTCTCTCATTTCCCTCCCCTCCCCTCCCCCAAACAAAACAATTATAAGGGTACTTTGAAAAAAGGGAAGAAGATTCCTTATTTGAGGAAAAAAAAAAATGAAGGTGAGGGGAAGACCTTTCCTTTTAAGTTTTGCTTTAATTTCTTTTATGTATCTTTGTATCATCCAAACAGGGGAAATTCAGGGAGGGAGGGAGGAGAAGAAAATAAAAAGATATTATTTCCGCTCATTTGCCTTTTCCTTTGAAAATCTCAAACCAAAATATATTTTTAAAAAATAATTACTATCAAAGAAAAGTTTGACTAGTTTTAAATAATTTTTTCCTACTTTCTAAATAAGTTTAATCTTTCAAAATTATAAAGAATAGTGGAGGATTCAAAGTTCAAGTTTCAAAATTCCACTAACAAATACATTTTAAATTTTAGAGTGTATTTGGCAAAACTTAAAAATACTACTAAAATGTAGGGCTTCAGCAACATGAGAGTACATTAGTGAAGGTCTTGAATATGTTGCTGAAAATAGTGCAGCAATATGAATCATGTCGGTGATTCCATTGTTGGAGATGCCTTACTCAACAAAACATCACCACACTACAAGAAAATTCACATTTAGTGACTAAATTATTGATCATTAAATATTTATTTTTTGTCACAAATTATTATTAGTGATAAAATTTAAATCGTTAGTAAAACCCTTGTCACTAATGCTCTTAATGACAAATTAAACATCTGTCACAGAAAATAATTTTATAGTGATAGAAAAAATTGACATTGTTAACAAGTTATTTATAACAATTTTATTTGTCACAAAAAAATATTCGTCACAAATGCAATTATGATGTAAAATTTAGTCATTAACTATTAAAATTGATATTAAATAAAAAAGATATTTATATAATTACAACACAAAAATTTTAACAAAAATTTTGTCACAAAAAAATAATATATAAATTTATCACAAAAATTTAATAAAAAATATTATTATTTCAATACTAATCAATTTTGATTAAAATTAATCAAGCCTGATTAAAATTAATCAAGCCCAATTAAAATTAATCAGGCCCAAACTAATCTCAAGTTTTATTGAGTTTCACATGTTTTATAGTGCAAAATTTATTTTCTTAAATATTTTTTATCAATGTGGGATATATTTATAATACAAAACGTTATTCTCTTATGTGTTTTTTATCGATGTGGGATGCATTGATTAGAGAAAATTGACAATTTTTAGTGACGAAATATATTTTTTAGTAAAAAATTATTTGGTCATCATTGAATGTGTAAGGTATATATGACCAATATTAGAATTTTGTCATAATTGTAATGTATTATAGTGATGATTTTTATCGACAAAAACTTATTTTATCTCTACGAACATTTTTCGGTGACGAAATATATTTTTTATGATGAATTTTTTTGTTTATCATTAAATATGTATGTATCTGTGACTAATTTTTTAGATCTGTCACAATTATAATAAGTTATAGTGATGATTTCAAAATTCATCACAAATTTCTATCATTAAAAATCATTTTTTTTTGTAGTGCCAATAAGTATTAGTATGATAATTTATAGCTACTAGTGGTACTCATCAAAAATATATACCTTATACAACATGTGCCATGTCAGTGAATGTTTGCATTCAGCAACATAACATACAATGGTAATTTTAGGTGTGTGTGACAAGTCACTCTCTATTGATTCAGCAACCTCTAAGAGTAGTAATATGTATGTCATTGGTGATTTTCCAATTTCATAGATGAGCTTTACAATGTTAAGCATTCCAAATTTGAAATTTGGGTGGAACATTATGCTAAATTTACTGACAAGGTATATATTGCTATTTTATACTTTCATCGACATATAACACAATGCTATATTATTTTGCCTTAAAAAAAATGAAATTTCATAAATTAGTTCTCCCAATATTCTATACACATATTCTCTAAAGAACAATTCAATAAATTCCTAATTCTATCAACGTTTTATTCTATTAAAACCATTATATCACCACTAACCCCAATTCCACTAACATTTGAAAAAATTGTCTACATTCATTCCATACATCTCAAAAAATTTCATGCCATAATTACTAAAATGAACATTAATGCTATAAAAATATAAAATTTCATAACTATTTCTTTAATTATATCATCATATTTGCCCAAAATCAAAAGCATGATATGATGCAAATATATATAATTACACACACATATATATGCCTTAAGTGACCATTCTTAAAG